TCATTACCCATTCAAACCGTCTCCAGCCATTATTAATTACAAGTTATGTTCCATCATTCAAACCAATTCTAGTTTTCGTAAACAGACTTTTTAAACAAATTATCACATTACTAACTATGAGATATACACAATACATAGGGTGCTTCAGTCAGTGTACATTACTTTCAGCATTGAGATGTCCTGGTTTAGTATTGTTGTTGTTCCATAATACAAAATTCTAGAGTTTGCACCCATATTCGGCGTGAAAAAGGCGTTCACCCCATAAAGGTTGTTGTTGTTATAACATAAGACTTATATAAATAGTGTTCTGGCCAGTAGTGTGTTTTTTGTATCCCAGCCGGACTGATGAGCTCTGGATTGAGCGAAATGCGTAGTCAGCAATGGATGTGACGAACATGGTGTGGTTGGAATACTATTATTAAACACTTGAAAACCCGTAACGGACTAGGTATTGAATGCAGTGTTAAAAATATAATAAACCTAATGATATCAATAGTGTCTAATGTCAAGTAAATCAAGTACTGTTCTCTCTTTGTTTTCTTTTTTTCGTTTTCTCTCGTTTTTCTTCTAATAGAGTGAATATTCAGATTCGAAAACATGCGTTTAGAATTAATTGATTATATTTCATTTCTACGGTGTATTATGTCACAATTAATAGACTGGCATCACGGAAATAATATTCACTGTCTTCGAGTGGTAGGAGTTGAAAAAAGTTTTGTTTTGGTTGTGCAGTTTGATACTTACACAGAATATAACAGCTTAGTTTCAAAATATTTATTGTCAAAATATAACAGTGTTGGAATATGATGACGTTTTCGCGCAAAAACATACACATAAACACATAACATTAAATAAAATCCTGATGTTATAAAAAGATCTTGTTCAAGGTATTTCGAAATCACATCTGAAACTGTAAGTCACGTCCTTGACCGTCAAAGGTCGTCGGTGATCTAATTAAATATAACGCACGGATACACTTGGTTTATTTCCATACCCATATTTCTTGGGCTATATGTGTTGCCATATGCACTTTGGATTATATTATCGAATGAGATCACAAAATTATGCAAGGAAACTTAGTATATAAAATGAGACGCAAAATAATATGTCCTGTGTGATTGTACAAACATATATTTTAATTTATGTTAAAATAACTAACTACAACGGTAAACTGAATGATCCAATATTAATTTAATTGCATCATGCTCTCTGTATTTTTAACGGCTCACTTCACTTTGAATTATACTTTATATGTGTGTATGTATCTACCTATATATAACTATTAAGAACATGAAAACATATGTTTACCAAAAGTAAACTAACTTGGAACCTAAAGAGATTATACCTAGTGATATAACTGGATACAAAATATTAAAGAAAAAAGAAAACATAAAAGCGAACATGTACTTTTCTTTAAACAATAAAATAAATTTTCTAAAATCGTAAATAGGTCAGTTTTTACATACACGCGTATTTCATACAATACCTTTAATACATTCATAGTAGAAACTCCGAAAAGAAACGAGCCCGACAAGTTTTGGTTGCTACCCACTTCACTGGATTAGCCTATCATTTTCCAGCCTTTCCGTCGCCTCGTCTCTTGTACAACGGTACCCAGACAGACGTTGAGTTTGCCGGAAGGGGCAGTAGGCTGACTTACACGTACTGCTGTCGCATACACGTATGCTGGAAAGTTCAGTTTCCACGTGAGCAGATGGGAAGTGAAGAGATCAAGACTACTAGCCCAGTCAGTTGAGTAGAATGATCCACCAAGGCTGGTATGCAAATATGTATTTCGTCAGCCGATTATGTTTGGGATATAAAACACTGTTGAGCCATTATTGATACTTAGAGCCATTGAATGGACTTGGTAGTAGTGTGAAGAAGTTCGTGCTGGGAAACTACTAGCTACAAAATTGTGTTTTATATTGTGATACCTTGATAATTTTAACGATTTTAATTCTCGCTAGTGCAGTGTAAAACGCTGCCCATGTAATAGAACGATGTCTGTTTTAATTCCGAGTGTAAGTTGTTGTTTTTTTTCTTTTTCTCTCTTTATTTGTTAATAATGTGTTTAGGTTTATCAAATAATTTTTGAACTTTATTTTATTTTTTTTTCTCTTGTGGATTATGAGCCAACGTGTACACACGCCGCAGTAAGCAGATATCACGTGGCGTGAATGTTTATGCCCCGCCCTGCTCGCGCAGGGACGGCACGTGTTTGAGCCGGCGTTTGTTCATCGTATAATTTATGAATCTAAATTAGAGTAACTGCAGTGATAAATAGATAGTCAGAATTATTTACTACCTGTAGTGAAATAAAAGTTATAATATTACGCTACTCTCTCCATGAAGATTAATTGTTGTGGCTTTTAAAATGTACTCGTTTTAAATGACGCTCGTCTTGAAGCCTCAATTTATAGATGGACTTGCATACATTATCAAAACATCAGGATCGCGTTCTGCCCTTGAAATCTCAAGTCCTTGAACATTGCTTCGAAGGTGCACGACTGTACAAGACCTTGTTGATTCTGGATAAATTCATGCTTACTATCATGATTGAAAATGTCGATATAATGGAAAGGGGAGGGGGGGGATTTCATTCTCCTCTCATTTAAGTTTAAACGATGACTCGTATGTGTATTTTAATGAATGTATTTAACTCTTAAATTTAAAGGCTTATCCGTGGCTGTATTTTAACTCTATTCCCCATGTTTTAACAGCTCTGACTGAACGTATAATTAGGCCTAATATAAATCTTACTTTGTAGGCTTAAACTCGAATGGGAGGAGTAACAACGAAAATGCTATAGATATTTTAACTTTTATTTATCAAGTAAAAGTCTAAACTTTAATTTAACATTTCAAGATTAAAATAAGATTACGTCTTACGTTTTTTTTTTCTTTTGATTATTAAATCTTCGGTAGCGTGATCTGCTTTGATTTAAAGTTATTTTCCTTTATTATGCAGATACAACACAATTCGCCTGATACAGAAGGTAAGGCACTATCCAACGAAAATGGTGAAGTAGCTGGAAACTATGAAATTTTCCAACGTATAAATCAAATGCTAGACAACACGTTAGACTTGACTTGTTATACTGAGCCTGACTTTAAAAGTGATAACCAAGTTTCAGGTTTGTACTCTTTATTTTAAGCACCATTTTATCTGAATTAACTATGAATTAAGTACACTAATATAGGATACTGCTTTAAACCTGAAATTGAGTTTCATGCATGCAAATTTTTGAACAAATTCTCGAGCGTACCTCCAAGACTTTTCTAAAAGAGAGGGGGGGGGGGGAGTAAGGCATTGATATTTTATTTCAATGAAAGCTTAAAAATATTTTTTCTTAATTTTTAAAGTCTTTAAAATTCTTACTGAACGATCTATTGGAATACAATCGTCATTTAGAAAAAAACCTTTTCTTAAAGTAGGGTCTTGAGTATTTTTAGCCTTAACCCTATTATTCCAAAATGGTGTTTTGAATTAAACTAAGATAGAGGTGAGATGGCGTGCATGTGCACCTATTGTATAACTACAGTTTTTACTACTTTATTATTAAAAGAAAAAAGGTTAATTTGTGTGTATTTTCAGATTCTACCATGGTAGAGCTCTTGGGATTGAGTGGAAGAAATAATTGTTCAGGTAAACGTGATACAGTCATCTGCATTTCAAAGTAATCTGTTACAGGGGTGATGTCAACTTTGTTTGTGGGTGGGAGGGAGAGTGGTTAAAGGTATGTTTGTGGTGAAATGTTGATTTTTCTTTGTTAACCAAAATTAACTTATCCTATCTTCCAGTAATTTATTTGGAAAATGGAGGGGGGGGGGACTTAATCACTTCTGAAATATGATGACCCCCTTCTTTAGAGGTCAGCAACATGTATATTTGTGAAAAGCTTGTTATCAATATTTAAGTTTTCCTAAAATGCACCTATGTACATAAAGGAGATAATGATGTATTAAATAATTTTGGGTGACTAGTTGTTGTAACGGTTTCTCTAATTATTTAACTACTTTTGAATGTTGTCTCCTGTATAAGAGTCTTTTGTTTTACTTGTTTTATTAACCTCTATGTTGTAAATTTCTTACCAAATACTATCATCAATTCTTAATGCTTCATCTCAACTAATGTTAACTCTGAACACTAATTTCTATTAACACGGTTATTTTCTGATTATTTGTTTTGCAGGTTTCCAGAACTCTAACATTTTAGCCAGCCCACAGTCCAGTAGTTATAATTGTGGATTTTTCCAGAACTCTCTACCAGCTCGAAGCTTGGCAGCATTAGTTTCTGGATCTTCTCCATCTTATACTAATGACCAAACTAACAATCAACATGTAAGAACACTGAATTATGGTAACTTTAAATATCCCGATGTGGGTTCCTCGTTGAATCGGATGCTTCAGCAGAATTCTAGCTTAAACTCTACAACCAATATGGGTCTACTTCGGCCCATTAGAGCTGCTTCTCCTCCTTCCGTACATCATGTCTGGTAGGGAATCTTCAGTACATAATATTATAATTTAAAATTTTAAGTAATATTTTACTTTTAAATTTTGAGCTCTGTAATGCTTATTTATGTTGTGAACTTTCATATTGCTCTAAACCTAACTTATAATATTTTTACCTTCTTGTCCTTATAAATAGCACTTGTAATTCTCCCACATTATTTTTACTTACCTAAGAGGATAGTTGGATTAATGTGTTTTTGTATTTTAGGTATCTTTAACAAGATAGAATTATTTGCCTGGTACAAAGTTTTATTTTTTTTAATCTCTTTTAAAACTAATTTACTTTTTTTTACCATAGTGATCAAGGAAGCCCAACAATAGAACAAGCTATCTTAATGGGCTGTGATGCATTTCGAGAGAACAGGAGCTCTTCACCAACAGATTCTGACACTAGTGGAATTAGTAGTGTTTCAGACTTGAGCAATCTTTCTGATCTTATGGTAATGTTTCCTATTCTTAAGTAGTAAATCCTGTTAATTACAACTTGTAACTTGTTCGTACAAACAAATGAATGTCTGTAGACTGTTAGTGCCCCCCCCCCCCCAAAAGAAAAAAAGAGTTGATACTTTTGTCTTTGGTGTCAGTTACTTTATTTCAAATTAATGTTTAACTCCCTAATTGGGGGAGGGGATTAAATTATTCTATAATATACAATGTATGTCTTTTTCTTATATACATGCTGTGCAATCTTTGTTTTTGCAATTTATTGAACTCTTATTTTAAATTTGTATATTCTATAAACAGAACAGTCTGAGTCTTGGAACTCCAATTGGTAATCTAAACCCTCTGGGGGCAGTTGGATACCAAAATACTCTGGGCAGCAATCTAGTAAACAGGCCAGAAGAACCTCCCCTTTTTTCTTCGCCTTTCTTTTCCGATCGACGATGGACAAATGTTAACTCTGTCTTTGGTTACAGAGAAATGGACACAGTTGACCATGCAGCTAAAATTTACAGAAACTCAGCCTGTGTGTATTTGATTTTTCTTTAACTCTTAATATAGACATGAATATAACTGATTTTTCTTTGCATAGAATTTTCACAGTAATGTGTTTAACTTCTCTACATTCTTAATTAAAGTTCAGATATAAATATTGTTAATATACTTTTATATACAAATCTTGTGTTTTTATTATACATGATGTAAATTAAAAGTGTAATCTTGTTGTTACTCGAAGCCACACTAAGAATTGTTAGAAAAATTTGCATAAAGAAGGGAATGAGTATCGTACTGCAGAATAACTGAAAGTATAATTTTTAACTTTTAGTGTTTAGCCAAGCCACCTGTACATGGAGTGGTCAACTTCCTCCACGAATCCACAAGAATCCAGTTTATTCCTGTAAAGTATTCTTGGGAGGAGTACCTTGGGATATAACGGAAGGTAAAATTTAACTTTGTTCCGACTTTTCTCCAAATTTTTTTATTTTTTAGAAGTTTGAAATGGTTCTAGCCAGCAGGAAATGTGTAAAGCTTCATTGGTTTCTCAATCCATATAGAGTAAAATATACTTTAATTGCTCGAGAAAATGAGTTAGATTTCATTTGAATGTTTTATTTCTTGCATTTCTCTTAAAAACAAAGCTTGTATAAACGTTGTGAAGTAAGCAAACCCTCTTCTCACCACCGTGCATTAACCTACTACTTGTATTATTGTTACTCCGTGAGAATTTGATTTTGAAATGCTAGATAATTTATGTGTAGCAGATTAAGAACGAATGGGTACAATTTCTTATTTCACAATCTTCAGTTTTTGAAATGCAAAATCTGAGAGTTGGAAGAAAAATTGTTTAAAACTTGCGCTAACATTTTCTTTGTAGTTTCCTTCTGTGATCTTAGTTTGTATTACCCTTAGTTTTCCCCATTTCCAGTGTAAACTTTCATTTTAATTTTGAGTTAAGTATAATTGTATTTCAGCTGGATTAGGAGAAGCGTTTGCACCTTTTGGACCCATCAAAATACAATGGCCTGGTAGAGATAGCAAAAATCAAACCTATCCACCAAAAGCTGGTTACGTGTACATTATTTTTGATTCTGAAAAGTGTGTAAAGTCTCTTCTACAAGCCTGCACTCATGACTTTAGCAATGGGGGCAACTGGTACTTCAAGATTTCTTCTCGCAGAATGAGGTGCAAGGAGGTAAAAAAAAAAAAACAAAAAAAGCATCATATTAGTTGCTACACCTAAAATTAAACTAACTTTAATCTTATTTTATAGTTAATTAAAACTTTTTTCTTTTAAATTCTTAACGTGGAATAGTGGTAAAATTGAGCATGATTGTTTTTCTTTTATCATTATTTTTAGAAAAGATTTTTTATTTCAACAATCTTAACACAACTTTGAAGATAGTGGAATACTTCTCTTCTTAATCCTTCATATTAAGTACTTCAAACTTAACACTGGATTCTTCTATATTTAGTGCTAACTTCAAGTCTCTATTATAAACATTGCTTTTCTTTAACAACTACTTTCCTGAATTTGTTTTTAAATACTTTATCTTAGGTTCAGGTCATCCCATGGGTTATTGGTGATAGCAACTATGTTCGTTGTCCATCGCAAAGGCTGGACCCTAGCAGAACAATCTTTGTTGGAGCTCTTCATGGAATGTTGAATGCCGAAGGTCTAGCACACCTTATGAATGACCTTTTTGGTGGTGTTGTGTATGCTGGGATTGACACTGATAAGTACAAGTATCCCATAGGTAAGAAGATTCTGATTTATTAAACTTGTCTTGAACAATTGGTATTTGGTCGAGTGATACCATTCCTTTGATTCTTTACTTTGAACGGTGTGCGAATCTTGATTTCAAATGACTGAACTAGATGTGCGTATGTAGCTGAAAGACTTTTCTTAATTAGTTTTTTTAATCCTTTATTTTTCATTCATTTATTTTTTATGTTTATATACTTTTTTTTATTATTATTACTAAAGCTTTACTTGTTCCTTAAAGTTAAGTGGGAAAATAAATTATTCTTTATTTTATTTTTTCCTCTAGGTTCTGGCAGAATTACCTTTAATAACCAAAAGAGTTACATGAAAGCTGTGTCGGCTGCCTTCATAGAAATTAAAACTTCAAGGTTTACTAAAAAAGTTAGTATTTATTATTATTATTACTATAACTGAACACTACCTAGACTAAGTTTAAACAATTTGAGTTTAGCACACCCTAACCTTGTCTTCTTCTGTTTGTTTATCTATGAAGCTGAATCACCCTTTTACCTTGTATATATTTCACAAAACAAAAACCTGGAATGATGAGCTCTGTATTAAGGTATTTATTAAAGGAGCCTTCAAAATGGTGGCATGTCCCCCATTTAGCTCTATTTGTAAAATAATAACTTGTCTTAAAAATCGGTGGAACTCTGCTTGTGGATTTTAATTATATATTTATTACTTTTCTTAACTTGTAGCTAAAATTACTCTGCCTGTAAGAGTGCAGAACTTTTTTGTGAAAATTTATTGGCTATTGATATAGACTATATACAAATACAGTAATATAAGTGCTGGTTGACTGGTTTCCAGCTATTGCAGTGCAATCCTATTAACACTTTGAAATGTGGATTCTTTGTTTATTAATAGGTGCAAGTGGATCCATACCTGGAAGATGCAATCTGCTCTAGCTGTCAGTTGCAGCAAGGGCCAATCTTCTGTCGAGACTTGTCGTGCTTCCGCTACTTCTGTCGAGCTTGCTGGCAGTGGCAGCATTCTCTAGACTCTACACGAAGCCATAAGCCACTAATGAGAAATAACAAATCCTGTCGTTTGATATGAGAGTGAGAAGTGTGGCTAGAAGATTAACTACACATGTGTATTTTTGCAGAAATTTGTATGCTTTGTTAAATTTTAAGTTTTTATTTTGCCACAAAGTAACTGATGTAGTCAAATTGGGCTTATTTGATGACTAGTTGAAATGTTAGTTGAGTCTTGTTATTTTATATTGGGCACTGTTAACTTAAGCTGTTATGGAGTGTTTAAATATGGCTAACCCATTTATGTTAATGTTTTGTTTTTTGTACATAGTTTAAGTCTATTAATATGGAAAATATTTCTAAAGTATTAAGTTAACCTTTAAATTGCAACCATGGCTCTCAAAACTATTTACAAATTCTAAAGTTTTCTGTTTTATTTAATACATTCCTAGTTACAGTAGCACTTCTATATGTGTTGGTGAACTTAACTTCAGCCACCAGGGAACTTGTTTTGTTTTTTTTAAACTGGCCAATCACAACTTTGTTTTTTATGGATCATTATAACTTTTTTGGAACCCATTTATATTTAATCTAAACACAAGTCTGCATTTCCTTGGAGCTCTTGTATGACTTGTATTTTCATAATTTTTAAAGACTTGCTATTGGCTTCTGTTGTTGCTAATTAATACTTTGGTACTTTTAGTAAAGGCTGTTTATCTATTTTGTATATCTCTCGTAAGCCTTAATTAATTTCAATCTTAACTTGTGTGGAAATTTAAAGGCATCTAACTGTGATGCTTTAAGACTATTACATTGTACTTACTTTTTTTAGATTCAACTCTGAGAACTTTAAATGTTAGTAGTTTGTCACTTTTAACCTGAAAATCTTGGTGTAGTTGGTGCATTTTTTTTTTTTTTCCCCCCAAACTGTGACATTTTTTATCAATTTTGTGCCATTTAAATTTTCTGTTGCACTTAACTGTGTTTTTTAAGTAAAATGACACTTACTGTGATTTTTAGCTCTCATTAGATTAGTTAAAAGAACTATAAATTTAATGTAGAACAGACTAGTGACTGTTATGTACATTTACTACTTGGGATAAGAAAGAAATGGATATTGTGTTTTTACCCTGGTCTAGCTTTGACCTTTTTATAGAACACTGCTTGAAAGAGGGGCAAGTATCTCTAGGTTCTTCCAGGACTTATTACCATCTACTTCCAATCCATTCAAACAAGGTTTCTTGAAAATGGCAGCTGTAGCTATTGAAACCTTGATGGCAAGAATTCACACGATAATGACAAGGACTGGCAATGGACAAAACTTTGTGTTCTAACTACTAACTTTCTCCATTCTGTAGTCCTAACTTTGTATAATTTTCAAATTTCTTTTTATGCTTTGTGGTTTTGGTTTCTCTTATAAAAGAAAAAAAAATATAAAAAATAAATGGCTTCTAGTGGTTCTTTTCTTTTTTTGTAATACGGGTATTAAGTAGCATTCCATGTTACTTTGTTTCCAGTTGTCAACAGTCTTTCAAAAAGCAATTGTAATTTAAGGACTACAGAAATTGGACAACTATTTTTGTTTTTGTAATTGTTTAAGATTAAAAATAAAGCATTGTATGGGCAGATTGTTTTGTTACTTTGGAAACCTTGACTTTTCCTCATGGATTACTTAAACATAAACACTAAAAAAAAAAAAGATTCTTTACAAACTGTATACTAATACCTAAACGCTTACTCCTGTAACATTGGTTTATCTTTTCATTAATAACATGAATAAATATTTAAATAATTATCTTGCAGGAAATACACAAAACATGTTTCTATAACTTTATACCACTATAATATACAATTGTTCTGTTACAGTTGTTTATAAGTTGAATAAAAAAAAAAAAATCTTGATGTTGGTATTAAATGAACGTCTTGTGCTAAAGGGGGGGGGGTGAATTACATATGAACTTGTATAATGGTAGAGAAATGATCTTGTAATACATCTGCTTTAACTTCAATATTGCATCTTTGGGCTTTACTGTGCCGTTAGTTTCACAAAATATTGATACTAATGATTCCAATTCCCCCCCACACACACGCACCGTTTTTTTAAGATAACTATACTATTATGCCCGTTTGGACAAGTTCTTCAATCATCCGACCTCAACCCACACTTGTTTGTAATTAAGCACAAAGCTACACGATGGGCTATCCATGTTCTGCCCAACACGGGTATCAAAACTCTGTTTCTAGCGTTGTAAGTCCGCAGACATGCCGCTGTGCCACTGGGGGCTAATATAACTGAAGTTATAATTGGGTACAGTTAGACCAGGACGAAACGTTTGATTCTCGTAGGTAAAATCATTCTCAACTTGTCTTTATTTGATATTACAGACCCCCCCCCCCACCAGAAACAGTGACTTACGGTTCAGTCTCGCCTGTTGTCACATCACACGAGAATAGAGAAAAATTCGCCTTAAAGCCATACTGATGCCAGTAAGGAATAGCCTCTTGTCACACCACGAGACTGAACCGTAAGTCGCGGTTTCGGGAAGCTGGGGGTTGTAAATTTGTTGTTAAGCACAAGGCTGCACAATGGGCTATGTGTGCTCTACCCATCACGGTAATCGAAACCCATTTTTTTAGCGCTATAAACCTACAGATTTACCACCGAGTCACTTGAAGGCTGATTTGTAAAATAGTCACAAATCCCATTAATAACCAACTAACAGACGTTACGACTTGAATTATATTGCTAATAATATTTCTTGAATTTCAACAAAAGCAGTTAGTGCAAAGTTCAATTAACGAATAGTTTTATTTTACCAAAATATTTGAAGTTATTGAAAGAAAAGGTACATTTTATTTCTTTTTTCCCTCATAAAAAAAAAAAAGAATACTGTTTTTATTTTTCAAATTTACTTCGTTGTAACCTCAAAGTAGGAAGACATTTCCCCCATTAGTTTTAGATGATAGGAATACATTTACCCCATTGATCCTAGATGGTAGGAATACATTTACCCCATTGATCCTAGATGGTAGGAAGACATTTCCCCCATTAGTCCTAGATAGTAGGAAGACATTTCCCAATTAGTCTGAGCCACTCTCATGAATAACATGACTAATTCTTGGTTAACTTACTCATGAGAGTTGTGTTGAATCAGCCACAATCGCTCTGGAATAATTTGTTACACAAGAGTTTAGTTTTTGTCACTAGTGTACAGATAATCCAGGTTCAACATATTTACACAGCAGTCTTACCGGAGTTACTAATATTTCGCAGCTTTTCATAAAGATTGAAGAACTCTGTGTAAACTGTACACGTAACTTTGTAAATTATGTTTGGTTGAAGGTAAGTCAGCTTTGAAAGGTGTGTTTTGCACGCACACAAATAGTGTATTTAAAAACGTAGTTCTCTCGACTATAATAATATGTACAGTTGTAACGTTTTATAATAAACGGTAAATAAAAAATGCTTAATAAATATAAATTAAATCATGAATCATTTAAACTAACTCATTCTCGAGTGGAGTTGTGTAAACGTACAGAGGGTGTTATGTGACGTACTCATGCAACACCTTATTGGCTTGATGTTCTATTTTACGTGGATGGGGGTTACGAAAGCTCTCATTAATAGGCCAAGAGATTCTTTTTCAAATGGTAAGACACAAAATATTATACACAGGCTAAACTTTTATCAAATAAAAATACACGGCTAAGTTATTTTTTTATCAAACCGACTTTATGTTTATGTTTGATTCTTGGAAGTTAAAAACTCTAAAAATCCGATGCACCTATTTGTGTATCATTTTTTTTTCAACATACGTTATGGCTTGAAAACTTACTTTTTATACTGTGAATAAAATGAAGCTAATATGGCTAGGTTGTAAAGTAAAATAGAACTTAATGTGACGCAAAGTAATCAGTAGACATGTCTAAAGTTGTTCATATTTTCATTTCGCTTAGCATAAAAACTGTGTTCTTCCTGTGTATAAGATAACAAATAACTTAGTTAATACTACTGTATGAAAACTAACTTATCATCAGTTGCTATGCTACACTTTTCTCTAAAATGATAGAACCTGGAATTTTCGTATTTGAGTTCACGTCAAAGCTACTAATAGCCATCCCTAGTTTTGAAGGTTTTTTTTTTGTTTCTTGACTTGCCGGTCGAGTATGGCCCAGAGGTTTTCGATGGGGGTTCATGTTAGGAGATTGGTTCGGCCAGGGTAACTTCTGGATACCATTTTCTTCCTGCCACTTTTTGGTGTT